ACATTTGTGAAATAAAAAAGTTTTGTTTGCCTAAAGTAATAATTACTTTCTGTGTAAGGTGATTTAAAAATACTTTATTTGCTATAAGCTTTCCCGATGTTGTTTCTATAAAAATAGGGTTTCATCCCTCCCCTTGAAGATGGAAGAGTCTGAGTCATGTGAACATGACTGACCATCCAGGATGCACCTCGTCCGTCAACATGCATCATGCATGTTTGTAAAAGTCATTAGCATTCAGGTGATCTACTCACATGCACAATACAGGCATAATTTTGTGCTCAAGGTTTTGTATATGTGACGTTATTTTACTTCACATCGCGTTCACAAGAAGTACAACTCAAGATTCATGATGTAAAGGTAGAATAATGGACCGTGATACAAGTTCCTTTAATGCAGGGTCACACCAATAGTGATGCCATAAAGCATTTGCTGCTATAAAATTTGCCAGAGGGCAAATTATGTTCAACATTTGCCAACTCTCAAATAACCGGCGCGAACGTGAATGTAATTTTTTTACGTAAGTTGGTGCCGAATTTGTGCTGTGAATTTTCTAAACTGAACACCCGCTTCACAAAATTCGCAGCTGATAATGCATCTTGAAGGTAAAACTGCATTTCAACATACACATGTGCAGTCGACTCTCATTATTATGAAATCCATGTAGAAACATTCGTTCTATCCAAAATTCATTGTAGGTGGAAGGAACACAGGACAACGGCTTTGGTGCATTGTTGTACATATGCACATTTATGCATGTATGCGCATACACGTGAATGCGTGGTTGATGTTATATCAAAAAGATCTCTCGGTTATAGTTAACCAAATATACTGTGATGTGTTTAGAATAATAAATTAATACAATAACGTTTAATGTGCATATACATATGAAAGAATACAAATACATAATACACATGAAAGAATCGATCCAGGGATTTTTGAAAGGCTTTCGATTGCCATGGATGACAATGAAGCTAAACAGCATGCACATGTAGGCCTGTGTGTAAATGGAAGAATGTGAAGACTTATCAACTGGAGCCCCCCTCCATGTAACTGCTCTTTCCAACACAAACTGTGACACAGAGAGACATTCTTATTTAATTTTCCGTCTGTCTTATGATTTTCGACACTAGCTGCATGGCATCGATAGTGTGAGTTCACTCGCCCACTGTGGCATGGCCACCCCTGCGCAAGATGGAAGCTGAAGAAGCTTGATATCATGAAGGAATTTTGCGATTGGATAACTGTGTCTTGCAAAATGTACATCATGAAAACACAGTCTCATTGGCGGGTACGCTAGGTCTTTTTGCAGCAGTGTGAATAATTCAGTGTTTGACAATTAGTTGGGCTCTTGAGATGTGGGAGTTGTCAAGCAAACATATTTGGGCATATTTTTATCGGAATTGGGAAGGGAATTTTTGTTTTGACGTTTGTGTAATCAATGTAAAAAATCACTGATTTTTGAATCGTGCTTTACGCTTGTCATGACTACAGGAAACTGGCAGACGATGCCTGTGTCTATTGCGAAAAGTGTCAAACTGTGCAGTCACTCAATGACACGTGCAGGTACATTAGAAGAAAGTACAATTTTCTTTTTTATTTGGAGGCAATATTGATTGAGGAATGCAAATAATATCTTGCCATGTTTTTTTTCCAACACCATTCCAGAATCATTGAAACCATGAGAATGACAGGTGACGGACGAATGCAGGGGAAATTGAACCCAATTATAGTATTTCCAGCTTAAGACAATTCAATTGTTTTCTTGAAGATAGAAATATACTAGATTTGGAGTTTCATGAATAGACTTCGTGATGCAATTAGGATGTTACAAAATTTTACCCTGGATCAATAAAATTAGGCCCGCTATTACAGTCGACACTACGTTTTCTTGCCAAATGTTTTTCTGGCATCTGAAGGAGATCATTATATCTCTTCTTGTATTTGTGTAGAAGTTAAGAATTTTTAACTGGTTTAAATGCATAGTTTATAACAGTTCAGTTGTAATAAATGTGTTTTAAATTTCAGTTAACTTACAAAAAAAATTCAATATTTAAAAATTTTCAATAAATCTAAACATAACGTTTAGTATACTCTGATCAATTCTAGTTTTGTTTAGCTTGATACATGTACATATGATACGTCTTAATATTGTATTTGACTTCCACCTGAAGCTTAAGCTGACATATGTACATGTATGATTATACTTTGGGCATAGATTAATTCTGGAATTGAACAGTAACATCCTAAACATACATGAATAATGCTCACTGAAACAATTTATCAAGAACTTCATTCAGTGTTTGTATTTGTTATATTCCTCACTTCAACCTTTCTTAAAAGACTATACTTCATTCTTTGAAGTGTGGGAAATACGCATAATCCTTTAATATTACATTTGAGTATTTTCCATTTCTTGCTTTTTTATTTCGTGCTACCGTGTCAATTGAATAAAAATTAAGAATAACCTGATGTTGATATCGATCAATTAATGATTAAACATATCTGCAAATGCAGGAACACGTAACAGCACATGTACTTAATAACCACAAACCTATTAGGGGAAAAAGAAGATCTGATGGTTCCAAAATATTTTCTTGAGAGGTCAAAATATTAACTAAAACTTGTTGAGCAGTTATGAAAGGCATATTTTGATTTGTTTTCAACATCATTCACGTTAGATTTAATTCCTTCCTGCAATTGACTCTGACCTTAATCAGGTCTGAAGAAAAACAGGCTTGTGGCAACACAGTAAAACATATTATACTATAAAGTCACAGAGGAATACTGAAGAACAGCCTTGTATTGAGGAAAAGGAAAGAGGGACATTAAATCATGCCAGCCACACATGGTATATCCATCAACAGTGACTTCAGTTTAGTGAATAATGGTGGGGGTGCTGCTCCACTGAAACCACATAGCCTTGGGAGTAATGCACCGTATCAGTCCAGCCCTAGGCTTTTTTCAGTTGGAATTGGCTGCTTGAGAACAATTCACCTGATAGCCAACTAATAACGAATGTATCAGACAGACCATTCTGTTGGACACCTACCCGATAGGAATTTTGAAATGGTGCCTTAGCGGGATGGGAAGAGGTGATCAGACAGGATATTCATGAGAACTATTTGAAAGCTGTAGTGGTGTTCTGGTCAAGGGTCTGGACAGCATAGGCTGCAAGGTCCAAGGACACCAGTGAATCATCCTCGCAGGCATAGAAAAGCTACTCCACAAGAAGAGACAGGAAGGCTGTACAGTGTAGGCTGGACGGTAGAGCTGTGAAGCAAGCGGTATCGTTGGAAGGGTGGGCTGGCTTCTGTGAGGTGATCACAATGCCAAAAAAGGTACAGCCAACTTTGCAGTGGTCCAGTGGACTCTGCTCTCTTGGCTGCGACAGGGGCTTGGGGAGCCCTAACATGCCTAATACAAACAGGGGACCAAGGAGACATCAGCCCCATCCTCTTGATCCTGTGTGGCACTCAGGATGGTCAACCCACCTAGACGCCCAGCTCCTGTACTGGTTGACACTTAAGGGAATGGGGGTGTTCACATTTGTTTTACTGAGTTATTGGAATCGACACTAAGCTCTGAGCAGATGTGCCCAGTTACTCCCACGATGACCGGTTGAGTGGCCTCCAGATATGTACAGACAAGAAAAAGAGAGAACACACACAAATGTGCCGAAATGGAATCAACCCTTCGACCTTGCCATCAGAAGCCAAAGGCCCTAAGCACTAGGCTACATGCCTCTGATATTGAGGTAGCAAAGGGGGAGCCTTGAGGGATCGTTACCAAAGCAAAGTTCCGTAAAAATAACGACAAGGGGATGAAAAATTCTTATACAAGCCAGAGGAATCGTACCAAGTAAATAATGCCATGAGGATAACTACTGGCCCGGAGAATAAAATTATCGGGCCAGGAAAGACATGTACAAATATATAAAAATAAGCATTGACTCATCTAAAGCAAGGTACTAGCCAAGCAATATAAATAGTGGGGGCGCCATACAAATAACCTTATTAGGTATGGTGATAAAAATACATAGTAGTCATAAAGACAAACATAAAATGTGACTTATCACAAAAATGTGATTGAATAGTGACACAAACAGATATGGGTATAAAGGTATGGTACAGTACAACGCCTCACAGTTGATTAGGATAACACAGATCAGCTTCAGTGACACAGAACGCTCGATAAAATGGAGATGGTCGAAAGACACATCTGTAAGCAAAAAGCACTAAGAAAAAGGACGAGCATGGCAGCAAACACACCTTGGGTGGACCGATAGGGGGCGCACTACGGTTGATAAAATGTTCAGCGAACAGTAATAGAGCACTATGGAAACATGCATATATAGTGACTGTCTGGGTAAGTTGACCGCAATGGACACCAGTGTAACTGTGCCTACCAGTCACACACAAATTTCAAGTGATGACTCAAGGGAAACTTGATTTCATTGTGCTTCTAGTGAAGACTACCCGAAAGGTGAAACATGAAAGATGATGGACATACATTTATCAAAATGTAGGAATTTGAACTTTTTTATCTTCAACTTTATTTCTGTGTGTGAGTGCTGGCCACAAATCCTCACACTTAAACTTTTGTGGGGCGGCCGGCAGTGGCACGTTTGAATGGGCCAGAGTTCATAACAGAAGTATGCATCTGTGACTGAGAACTGCTGTACTGAGCAACTGTTCAGTACAGAGAAAATTTTCAACCACAACATATTACAACTATGCGGAATATTTTGTGTAGACCCTGTCAAGTTTGTTTTTATGGTGTTCCACTGTACTGGTCCATGTGAATAGACAATAAATCACCAACTGCTGGAGTTGTCAAGTGGATATTGAATTTGAAGCAAGTGCTCTAGGATTTTGTAACAACTATTTATCCAATACGTACATGATAACATGGATAAACATGAAGAAAATGTTTCTCTAAAACTATTAAATATTTATTAGATTCCCTGAGTGTCTCTGCTCTGTACTTGTAAGTATACTTACAGTGCTAAAATCCCACACTTTGAGAGTTTTGTCATCTGATGCTGACACAAGCAGGCGGGAGTCACTTGACCAAGCAACATCTGAAATTCCCTATAAACAATCATGACATGGCAAATTCAAAAGAAAAAAATGAATAGCTTTAATATCCATATAAGAAAGCAAGAGTTTGAGTATTCTCACTAGTCCAAAGCCTGCCATTGGCAACTTTTATCACAGGATAAAGCACATCGATGTAAGGTATTTAAAATATGTAAAAAATTAAATACATAGCCCCAAAATCAACACAACATATGCCTGCCTCTGAATTTTTTCAGAGCTTTTTGAAGATTCATGAAAACTGTATTTGGGGCACTTCCACACTAATAGGGTACAACTGATAGCAAATTTAGGATTTGAAAATTGGCCACTGGAGGGTATCACAGAGCAAGACATTGTGATAATTTTTTCCTGTACATTTTGAGCCGTGATAACAAAGTGATTGAAAAATATGAAGGACTTTCTCTGTACTTAAGAAAATACTAGGGCCACTGACAAGAATTATGCAGATAACATGGACTGAATATTTGCTCTTAAGGGTCCACGAAAATCTCCGTGAACACACTGTTCATTAACTGTTTAAAATATTCACTAGTATGCCAATAACAAAATGGGGAATGGAAAACGGAACAAAGGTCCCTTTGTTAATTTTACTGACCCCTCACACGAATGTTTCAATCCTGACTAATGATGGTATTAAGTGTGACATACATTTTAGAACCACAAATCACAGCAAAATTATACAGGTAGTCTAAGAGAAACATGGACATGGCCGCGGAATGTTGAATGTAAAATAAATACATTTACATGTCTATGTATACAATGAATGGTAAAGCAGGTGTACACACAGTACACTCATCGTCGCAGCAATCGGCAGCATTTCTTACCCTTTGCTGTTTGCGTGAAAGCTTCTCTTTGACATTGTTCACAGGCTTTCTTGGATTTCCTAAAGATCATCAGCATGGAATCTGACTTCAATAATCATTTGAATTTCATCCCAAATGAGTCATACATGTTCTCAAGAAAACACTCTGGCTCAAAATGACCACTATGCAGTTTGGAGCTTGCTGTTGGTCCTGACCATTATTTTGGCCCTGGTCAGCCTGACTTTCAATGCTCAAACTTGTCTAAATATTTCTTTGATTGGAAAGTTATGCAGACTTGTCTCATCTTTATAGATATTGCTGCAGCCCACGGCAACACCTAGCAGTGCACGATGATGTATTCTTAAATGCACGCCACAGATACTCAATTTTCTATGTTAATGAGATACCTCTTGGGGGTGGGGTCGTTTCCCAAAATAATTTTAAAAATCTTTTTCTTCAATTTATTTTTCAAAACAACAAGTTTTGCTTCCTGGAAATACTTTAAAAACCTATAATTTTCAGTTATAACTAATACATTTCATTTTTCACAGGCCCTTTTAACCCCTTCACTGTGGGATTTTGACCGCGACTGCTGGGCTGTGGTATGCCCTAAATGGAGGGCTTTGTCCAGCAGCAGACCCCATTGAACCAGCAGCTGCATGGTGAATAGACTGTATGTGTGGTATGCACTAATTCTCACACAGTGGTGCGGTAATAGCAGTCCTCCACAATGAAGGGGTTAAATTGACCCGGACACTTTTTATTATGTGCATAAATTTACCAAAACATCACCTCATTTATAACCATAACCCATTTAGGATTGAAAACAGCCAAACCAAGCAAAATTTTCCAGGTCTTTAAGACACATGTATGTAATGTACGTAATGTGGGCAAATCTGGGACATACCGGTATCCGTTGATGATACATACATGTATGTAACATTGTGGACAAAATACCCTGTGGCATCTTAAAGATACAATAAATTCCCTTAGTTTTTAACTTTTTACAGATAAACACTGCTGTGGGGATCAGAATTACAGGTAGGTGACAACATTGGTAAAATAAACAAAAATGGACTGCCATACACCCCAAAAACTTACTTGAAAGAAAATACATGTACATGACAGCCTCAGTCAATCTATAACACATTTTCACCTAGAATGCTGTATAGTTTTTAAAGAACAGACATTGTATTTTCTTTTTTCACAATGGTCGGCCAGTAACTGTGTAAAAATTTGTTTCATTTTAAATACCACATCTGTTACCAGGTGCCGATTTCTGTGTGTGGTATATAAAGATGTTATAAGATCCACTACAAATGGGTAATTCCTCCCCCACAGTAGTGTGGGTCGAGTCTACTAGAGAATACCTACCCAAACAGTCACTACATATCCAATTTCCCATGCATGTATAGCTATTCACTGAAAAGACTTGATCATCCATGGTGCCCCTTGACCTCCAACTATGCGATGCAGTCATGCCGCCATGTTCGTCCTTTTTGAAAGCAACTAGGAATGTCGTAGCCAAGTGGGGAGGACGGGCGGGAGAAGACTGGTTGGGTAGGTATTCTCTAGTAGACTCAACCCACACTACTGTGGGGAGAAGTCTACGGCGCTCTACCTACCCAAACAGTCACTACATATCCAGAGTGGCACTGGTCTATCATCGAGATAGGAATATGCCTGTCACGAGTCCAAGCCAGATATGGACTCAGTATTAGGAAGAAACATTGAAAAGGACACAGCAGGAAGGAAATACCTGGAGTTATGTGTCGTCTAAGGAATGGGAGTCGATGGTGGAGCACATTAGGTAACTGTGACAGCAGACAGTTGCTAAGTATGATTGAAAACTGCAGTTCCGAGTCTCATAGTAGAAGAAAAGAATCGTTACTGCACTTACTGGTCTTTGAATTGAACCACTACAATGTACACTGTTCATCCTGCCTTGAGTAGTGGGGAACTGTTTGCTGCTAATGTAGATGTTAGGGATATTAGGGATCTAGGAAGGTCTGAACAACACAAAGAGAATTGTCTTTCCTGGCCAATTCTGACAGAATTACCGGCAGTAAGGTTAACAGAGAGGTATGTACATGTAGGTCTTACATGTCTGACATTTTTACCCTGTTGGAAGGAGACGAAAAGGGTTGTCTGCGACTAAGACCTGAAGACGAGTGGGTCTGGCGCAGGACAACAGTAGCTAGATGTTCCATGTGAAGGAAGGGACAGCAATGCACAGAGTCTGTTGTCAGGTACCTAAGGAACTGACTAGGTCACATTGTGATGAAGTGTCTATTCTACTGCGTGAATCTTTCTCTGACAGCAAGCATATGTATTAGTTAAAGGAGTTGTTGGCCTCGAGATGTGGATTACCTTCGGGTTAATCTCAAAGTCCAATGTTCATAAGAACAACTGTCTATTGAGGAGGCCAAGGCGTAGGGAAAGCATACCTCCGTAGTGATTTATCTGGCGTAGGGAGGGCGTACCACTGTAGTGATTTATCCGGTGAAGCTACAATGTGATAACCAACGTTAGAGAGTCCGCCCTGAATGAAGTAGAGGAACTTGAATTTGGAATGGGAATCAAACAATTTAAGTCCAAAAAAGTCTGGGTTGAATCTGACAAGGGTTGAGCTACTTTAAGAGGAACCCCATGTACATGCAATAACTACGTGTGTCAACAGAGATAGTAATTCAATGAGTTTGGCTGAACCAACAGGCAGACATAAATCCAAGAGGGTAGCCGAACGAACAGACACAGGTATTCATCTGATTGAAGAGGTGTCTCCAAACCTTACTACTATAGTAGGTAGCAAAGTAAGTAAAGTATCTAAAATTGATCACGAAGATACCTGAGAATTAGGTAGCCATTAGCGTCAGGTCTAGGGAACAAGGCAGCGTTGAAGTTCCTTTTTGGTCTGTATCTCCCTACGTTGCCTGTGAGAATTGTGGAGAGGGCAGAGCAGAATTTGGCCATTGTGTGGAACGGTGAGGGAAGAAGAACTGTGGTAGAGCTTGTTCCCAAAATCCTTCGTGACCACTGGTTAGTTTGTGAAAGGGCAGGCTTACACTCATCCCTGAACAAAGGTTTTAAAGGGAGGTGTAAATAGAGGTGACACTTTTTGTTTGAAACCCCAAGTACGAGTGTTATTTGCCCTGGATAAGGACTGACCTCATCTTTATCGGGTAAGGAATTGTTGCCGGAAGACTAGTTAAGAGTGGCAGATGACGTCACTGTATTGAAGAACTTCGGGCATTTAAACAGCATAAATGGGAGATTAAAGTCAGACTGCATAAATCCGAAAGGATGAAAAGTTGGGAGTCATGAATGGAGCGTCCATGCAAAAACTTAAAATCATTAATAGTACTGCATGACGGAAATACAGTGATCATATTTTGCATTCAGAATCAGAAAAAGTGCAGACATAAGTACCCTTTCGAAAGTCCAAATCAATTTCATTTCAATGAATAGAGATTGTTCATCGAATATCAAAAATGATACCAGTCAAGTAAAGCTCTTTGTTTCAATCACGCGGGGCGTAATTGGAAGAGATAACACAAGGTATCATTTTGACAAAATTTGCGGCCGACAGAAGACCCACTTTTGTTGGAACTCGCAACAGTTACAGTAACTACATCTAGACATGCCCACAAGGGGAGAACTCATAGAAGATACAGTACACATGTATGAAATTTGGACACGCCTACATCGGAAGATCTCGTGTGCGGACAGTGAACTTGGCTGGTACGGACGCCGTCTTGTTGGGTTGTGGAGGTTGTAGTAGCCAGGTAGGCTACACTCCACGGTCCCTGGTGAGTTCTTGCTGTGTGTCCCGGCACCGTGAGCCGAGGAATCATCAGGCGGGCCTGACCCGGTGGAACGATGGGGCCCAACCTGGTGTTGTCAGTATGAGGCCGACTAGATGTCTGGTCGGCCAAGACTACCGAGGATGTGGCCTTGCGTGCTGCACAGCTACGATGGCAGGTAACCATTGTGGGCCGCGGGGGGAGGGGAGGAGAGGAACCCTGTTGGCCCGCTGGCTTTTCTGAGTCATAGGTTGTCAATCAGCCTCGTTGCATCTTAGGCAGTCGGTGGAGGCACTGGCTCGGTTGACTAGGTTGTCTATTGGAGGGCGGAGAGATAGAATGGTCATAAGTCAAGAAGTCCCGGGGGGGGGGGGNAATGTCCCGG